TAATACATTGGCTAGGTGGAGGGCCAGGGGAGGGAAGCAAAAACAGACTCACAAATATAGTGGACGATTTGGAGATGGACAGAAGGGAGGATAGTTTGGGGGGCTGGCAGAATGGGGTGAAGGGTTAAAGAAGTACAAATTAGTAGCTGATGGATGGTCACAGGAATGGGGAGCACTGGCATAGGGAATACAATTAGCATTAATACATTGGCTAGGTGGAGGGCCAGGGGAGGGAAGGAGCAATTGGAGGGATCATTTTACTAACTACATAGATGTCTAACCAATGTACTGCATACTTGAAACTAACTAAAATTTAAAAAATAAAATAAAAAAAATACCTAGGAATAAATTTAACCAAGGAGATAAAAGACTTGCACACTGAAAACTGTATGACATTGATGAAAGAAACTGAAGAATGCACAAATAAATGCAAAGGCATTACATGCTCATGGATTAGAATTAATATTGTTAAAATGTCCATGCTACCCAAAGAAATATACAGAGTCAATGCAATCCCTATCAAAATTCCAAAGGTATTTTTCACAGAAATACAACAAACAATCCTAAAATTTGTATGAAAGAACAAAAGACCCAAATAGCCAAAGTAATCTTGAGAAAGAATGAAGCCAGAGGAATCATGCTCCCTGATTTCAAACTGTTGCAAAGCTATAGTAATCAAAACAGTATGGTATTGGCATAAAAACAGACACATAGATCAATGGAACAGAATGGAGAGTCCAGAAATAAACCCTCACGTATACAGTCAATTAATCTATGACAAAGGAGGCAAGAATTTACAATGAGAAAAAGAGTCTCTACAATGAATGGTACTAAGAAAACTGGACAGCTACATGCAAAGGATGAAACTGGACCACTATCTCATACTGCACACAAAAATTAACTTGAAATAGATTAAAGACTTGAATGTAAGACCTGAAACCATAAAATTGGAAGAAAACATAGGTGATAAGCTCCTTGACATTGGTCTTGGTGATGACTTTTTGGATTTGACACTAAAATCAAAGGCAACAAAAGCAAAAATAAGTGTGTCTGCATCAAACTAAAAAGCTTTTGCACAGCATAGAAAACCATCAACAAAATAAAAAGGCAACGTACAGAATGCGAGAAAATCTTTGCAAATCATATATCTCATAAGGGGTTAATATCCAAAATATATCAAATTCATATAACTCAAGAACAACAACAGCAAAAAAACAATCTGATTAAAAAATGGGCAGAGGATCTGAACGGGTATTTTTCCAAAGACATACAGATGGCCAAAAGTACATCTGTTGCGCTCAACATCACTAATCACCAGGGAAATGCAAATCAAAACCACGACAGACCAGCTCTTACCTGTTAGAAGGCTGGTATCAAAAATTCAAGACATAAGTGTTGGTGAGGATGTGGAGAAAAAGGAACCCTTGTGTACTGTTGGTGGGGATAGAAATTGGTGCAGCTGCTATGGAAAACAATATAGAGGTTCTTCAAAAAATTAAAAATAGAATTACCATGTGATCTAACAATTCCACGTCTGGGTATTTATCTGAAAAAGACAAAAAATGCTAACTCAAAAAGATACCTGCCCTCCCTTGTTAATTGCAGTACTATTTACAATAGCCAAGATGTGGAAATAATTTAAGTGCCAATCTACGAATGAATAAAGAAAATGGGATATGTATATCCCATATACACATATATAATGTAATATTATTCAGCGGTAAAAAAGAATGTAGTCTTGGCATTTGTGATAAAATGGATGGCCCCTGAGGGCATTATGTTCAGTGAAATAAGACAAAGACAAACACAGTATGAACTCCCTTATATGTGGAACCTAAAACAAACTAATAAAGCCACCCAAAACTAAGTTCATAGACATAAAGAACAAGAGATCAAATTGGTGGTTGCCAGAGGCAGGGGTAGAGGGGTGGGTGAAATGGATGAAGGGGGTCAAAACGTAGAAACTTCATTATAAATAAGTCCTGTGGATGTAAAGTACAGTATGGCAACTATAGTTAATAATAATACTATATTATTTATTTGAAAGTTGCTAAGAGAGTAGAGCTTAAAAAAAAAATCTTGGCCTTCAAAGCTGAGGACCTCTGAGTTGCTAACCTCTGAGTTGGCTCATTCCTGATATCGGCTGCCTTCTTCCACCTAGTCTTAGATATTGTAAGCTCATCTATTCTTAGTATAAATACATCCAGGGACAGGTCAAAGGGTCTGGAACCGGGCATCCCACACATTTCAAATGGCGGGAACACACGGCTGTGCTCAATAGGTCTTTGCTTAGTTATCCAATTCTCTTTCAGGAGTCCTGTCTCAATCACCTTAAAAAGTGTGAGTTTTGGGGGATGCCTTATGTATATAGTTTCCCCAGGCACTAGTGCAGAGCCCAGCAGGAAGGAGGACTATAGTGAATATTTACTGAAAAAACACAAACATTCAGTGACTGGGGGGGGGTGACCACCAAAAAGAAAGCTGCTCCCACTTTTTCCTCCCAATCAAAATTCAGTTCCCTCCACATAAGTTTGCTCACCGAAAGTCATCAAGGACTGAGTCTTAAACCTACGACCCAGGAAGTGAGCAGGTACATAGTTCGTGCCAACTGTGCACATCAGGCTGTCGACTCCAGGTCTGTCTACGAAGCTGCAAGAACTTGCGCCTCCTCAATGCCCCGCCGGGCAAGTTGCCGAGCTACCGGACACGCACCAGGGACTACAACTCCCGAGAGGCCTCGGGAGCCTCTGGCTGCTGACTGGCTGCGCGGCGGGCAGGGCCCGGAGGCTGAGCGGCGGAGTGTGCACGTGCGCGCAAGCGGCGGCCGGATGGCTGTGCTTGGCTTTTTCTCCGCGGTGCGTGCGGCACCCTGGCTGTGGCGGCGGGCGGCGGCGGGGCTCCCGGGTCATTGCCCGGGAAAAGGCTATACTGTGGGCCCCGCGCAGGTGAGGACCGTGCAGGTGAGCCGGTCCGCAGAGCTTGTGGTGAGGCCGGGAGCGGCGGGAGGGAGGAGCTGCCGGCCGAGCCCTTCCACTGTCCGCGGCCTCCTAGGAAATGGCCTTGACAAGGCAGCTGACCTCAAGTGCGCTTGCTTCTTGTCTTGAGCACAGGGTCCCCTGCGCACCCTGCTCTACCCCGCCCCCCTTCCCCTCCCTCCTACTTGGGTGATTTGTCATAGTTTTGGCCTGGGAGAAAAGTTACTTTAGCTAGCGCATGAGCAAAACAGACCCAAAACGCACACCAGTGTCTCTTGGCCTCTTGCCGCTCTTTGTCCCTAAAATTACTCGGTAGTTTCCTCTTCCTATTTTTCTGGTCAGCGTATGATTTCTGCACTTCCTTTCCATGATGAGAACCTTTTGGTTATAATTTTCAACTACAATTGAAAGAGATCCGGGGACTCGAGAGGGACTTTCCTCGGGGAGCTGCACCTATAAAGGGGCAGCCCGGAGGTGAATGTGGGTTTTGCGGGGGCTTTTTCATTTGGTCCCATTCGCTGGTGGGCCTGCTTATAATGAGCGGCTGTTATGTGTAGAGTGTAGGGGAAGATCTGGAGGGCGAGAGGAAAACTGGCACAAGCTCCCTAATTTGTGCCAGGTACTTATGTGATATCTAATTCTCTTAACTTTGGAGGTAGGTATGACCCTGGTGATAGTAAGGAAGAAGCTTGGAGTCAGATTTTTAAGTACTTTTTGAAAAGGTCAACAGCTGCTAGATGACTGTGCCAGGACTCTAAGTTAGTTCGTCATATCTGTCACCCTCACTTTCCCTGGAGCCATTTTGCTTCTTCTTTAAAGGGGATCACTTTGTCTTCTAAATTCTGTATGTAATAACGATAGTATTTTACATCTGTATAACGCTTTCACAGTAACCTTTTGTCGTATTTTAAATTAACTACTTATTTTAAAAAAACACATAGCATTTACTTTGTGCCAGGCACAAAGTGAGTACTTCACAATTATTAATTCGTGTAATTATTGTAACGACTCTGAGTATTATTATTCCCATTTTAGATCTGAGTCACAGAGAGGTTAAGCAACTTGCCCAAGGGCAGACAGCTGGTAAGTGGCAGAATCTGGAACCCAGGCCAGTCTCCTGCCAGAGTCCTAGCTCTTAACAGCTGTGTTCCTGTAATTATTTTGTATATAGAGCAGCTAAGATTCAAAGAAGTCAAGTGACTTGGCTCGTGTCACAGAGCTAAAAGTGACCAAGCTGGAAGCATGGAATGAGAATATAAAAGGACTTTGTAAACTGTAATGAAGTAAATATAAAGAATTATTGCCGTTATTTATAACTGTTGTATTTATTTCTAGTGTCTTTGCAGATTCTGAGATACTTCTGAGTGACTTTTCTGATAAACTAGAAACAGGGAGGAAAGGGATGAAAGGATGAAGTATATTATAGAATTTAAGAGTAATAGCTTTAGAATTGAATCCTGCTAGTACCGTTTACCAGCTGTTTGATCTAAGGCAAATTACATAATTTTCTAAGTTTCAGTTTCCCAATATATGTAACAAGAGTCTTATTTACCATGCCATGTTTTTGTGAGAATATATGTACTGTACTTTTTGTAATAAATGTAGAGTACTTTGCTCAATGATTGGCATATATTAAGTTGTGGAAATGGTTGGAGGAGACAGCAAAATAGACTATAGCTGTAATGTTGCTATTTAAAACAAACCAATTCTAGGTAAGAAGCAAAGATACAAATAACATCTTAGTAATGTCTTCATTTCAAATTAATCTTAAAACCATACATTTTATCACTGCCATGATATGAGCTTTAATTAGAGGATATGGCCTAATACCCAGGACTACTTAAAAAAAAAAATCAAGTGATATAGAAGAAAAATCAGATTAGAGAATGCAGATTAGAGAATGAAAAGAAAAATGAAAAAAAAATTTATTCTTTTATCCTTTACATACCTTCACTTTTTTCTTTTTTTCTTCTATTTTCTTCTTTTTTTAAAAATACCTTTACTTTAAAAAAAATTAGACTTTATTTTTTAGAGCAGTTTTAGGTTTACAGAAAAATTGAGCAGAAAGTATAGAAAAGCCCTATATATACATCACCCCAGTTTCCTTGATTATTAACATCTTGAGTTAGTGTGGCACATTTGTTACAGGTGATGTGTACCTTCACATTCTGTGTCGCTTAGTGCCTGGTTCTCTATGTACATTCACCTGAGGGTTGAAAGTGGTATTACTCCCTATGTAGTTATAGATGATGGACACTCAAGGATGTTGCTAAATTGTCCTGAAAACCTTCCTGTTCAGAGTAGCAGGGACTGAGGATTTGTATGTCTAAGAGAGTAAATCTTGTGACTATTTGGAATATGGCCACTAAGACTGTTAAAACTGTATGTGATTAGATTTTGCAGCCATCAGCACAGGTGAACTGTTTTATTATTTTTTTTCCCTATGTAAGTTTTCAGAAATCCAAAAACAGAATAATACAGCAGATTCTCAGAAAACGTCGTTTTGTTATAAAGTTGATGAGGGGCCGTAGGAACTTAACTCTTGTTAATATCAATTAGTCTTTGGTAAAAATGTTTTCATTATATGTCGTTTTGCTTAAAGTCACAGAACCTATTCAGAATGTTTAGGGAGCACTTACTGTATTATGATCGCCATAGACCCATCTTCCAAATTCAGCAATTATTAACATTTTGCCACACTTGCTTTGCTTATCTCCTCCCTCAACTCCTCCCCACCTTTTTTTGTGGCTCTAAGATTTTAAAACAAATTCCTCATTGCTTGTTATTTCAACCCTAAATTATTCTATATGTACCTCTAAGAAAATAAGGACCTTTTGAATATAATCACAGTGCTATTATCATACCTACCAACATTAGTAATTCTTTAATATTACTTAAAATCAAGTCCTTTAAAAATTTTCCCTGGTTGTCTCAAAGTTATGGGCAAATAAGTTTTACATTTGGACTTTCAGAACAGTGTGCTCTGTGTTCATACTGACCAAGAAAGAAGGTGGACTGTGTGCTAGATCACAGTCCTTTCCTCCAGTGACCTCCTTTGAAGATCACTAACTCTTAGGATGATCAGGAAGTGCTGGAGGGAAGGTCTGCCTTATTTCGCCCTAACCCTTCATCTTTTGGGGCATTCAACAGTCAGTCAACCTATATTGACAGGGTCTAAGCACTGTGCCAGATTTGGGGATTTGAAGGCAAATCACACCCTCTCTTCTCTTTAGACCCGTGTGGTAATTCTCTGAGAAAAATAAGATGACGAAATCTGAAAAGAGCTATGGTCCCTTTACCTAGGAAAAATCCAGAGTTTTAAGAGGTTTTATGGCCACCCTGAAATCTGCCTGTGGACCCAAGTTAGGACTCATATTCTAGTAGGATTCGTTGAGAAACAGGGAGAGGGTAAAGAGATTCATGAAGGCCATCAGGTCCATTGAGTACAGAGAAGAACCAGAACTCAAGTGGCTGGGGGCTGGTGGAAGGTGCAAGAGGACCTGGTACCTCCTGGATCCCTTTCTTGCTCTAAGGTGTTGCTGTGTGGGCGGCTGAAGAGCTCTAACTTTGCTGTGAGCTTAGTTTGAGGCTGAATTTTGAATCTAGTACTTGTGAACTGGGTCACGTTTTAACTATTCTCTTTGAAATTGGTTTCTTACTCATCCAGTCAGATTATTAAGTGAATACATAGTGAACACTGTGTATAAACCAGGTCCCTTTCACTAGTTAATGTCAACTGGAGATAATGACACCCACCACCCGTGTGCCGGTACAAGGATTCAATAAAAATACCTTTGCTATATGTCTAGTTCAATGCTCATTACAATATACAGGTCTGGGGTTCAGCGGGATCAGCCATTGGGGCCGATTCTGTTTGTTTAGACATTTCCTGCATTGCATGTGGAATTGGACAAGTTTCTCCCTAGCAGCTCTGTTTGCTGGTGATCGGAAATGCTGTCTTGTTGGTTTGAGTTCCTTTTCTCCTGTTTTTCCAGTGCCTCTTTCCAATTCCAACTCAGCACTGCAGCTGTCATTGTCTAAGCCTGTGAAGCTCTGCAGAAGCTATCATGAAGGAGCTGGAAGACTCCCTCCCTTAGTGGTCTTCCCTGTCAGTGGAGGCGAGAGGGGATCATTACTTTTCAGTTAGTTCATTTTCTATTTTACTTGTTCCAGAAACTCATCTCTCAGCTTCCTTGACTCCATATCCTCTTGAGTTTCCTCCTCACTAACTGCTGTTCCTCGCTGTTTTGCTGGTGACTCTTACATGCCCCGTCCTAAAATGGAGATGTTTTTCCTGATTCTCTATGAATCTCACTTATGCTCTCATTCTGCTTGTGCTTTTCAGGCTGTCCTCTCCCCTCTCAAGTTTCAGCCGTTCTCTGAGAGCTGAAGTCTTCCACATTTTCTTTCATCTCCTGGACCTTTTGTCCAGTGCTGTTAGCTCCATTTGCCTGCCCTATAGTTCTGAAGTGAAACGTATCTTCTGCCCTCCCTGGCCACTGCTCCTCCAGAGCTTCTTGGGTCTGTGAGTGATACCAGCGTACCAAGAGTACCAAGATACACTCTCCCAGAGTACCAAGCCAAAAAGAGCATGGAAGTCCCTGTGGCCCCTCCCTCCACCCCTGCATCTGATTGTTACCAGGCCTGGCTGTTCTGCCTCCTGTGTATGATCTGCCACCTTCTCTCCATTCCTGTTGCTGCCACCTAGTTAAAGCTACCATCATCTGTGTCTTAGATTACAGTAGGTCCCAGGTGGTGCCCTTCAACTTGACTCTTAAGTCCACTCAATCTATTCTTTACTCTGTAGCCAAGATTTTCCAACAGCACAGGTTTGATGATGCCATTTTTGTCTTTCAAATTCCTTACATTGGCCTTGGAGACCTGTAATGGCCAGTCCTCTCCACCTGCTATGAGTTAGGTACCTCTGATGCAGATTCTCAGAGCCCTTTACTTCTCGTCATTTCTTAATGTGATGCTCAGTATAGAAGCCCTATGCTGCTTATTTGTCTTCCCACTGACCTGTGTAGGCAGAGTCACTTATGCCTGCTTGTCTAGTCTGTTGCTGATTGGGATCTCAATAGATATTTGTTAAATGAATGCATGCATTTAAATCTTTCATTGCCTAACTCAAAATTCTCTTCTAAAAACCCTCTCTGTTAAATTTTCTTTACTCAGAACCTAAATACTTAGGATTGATTTGCACTTGTGAAAATGCTGCAACTTTAGTGAGTTCCTAGACTAGCTGTTTGTTCTTTCACCACAGCTAATAAATGAAGGGCTAGAGCACGGTTTGTATTTTTGCTTACTCCTTACAGAGGAGCCCTATGCACAGAGTAGGTGTGTGCAGTAAGAATGGCCTCACTTGGCACCAAAAAAAGGAGAGTAGCAAACAGGAGAGTAGAGATTTTTTTTTTTTTTTTTGCAATTGAAAAACATCTCGTATGTTAATAGACAGTTTATAAAATAAGAATGGAATGAACTTTTTTAAAAAAGGAATGTTCGGCTTTATAAATCCAAGAAGTGCAGATTGTGATAAGAGACAATTGTTTTAACTTTTAAATTAAGACATTTGATAATTAACAAACTCTCTGATACATGTGAAAATCAATATTAGCATTACCAGTGGGTGAGTAAGTTGATACATGTTTTTAGAAAACAGTTTGTGAGGAGGTGTTACATTATTAAAATGTTTGCACTTTTTTGACTTATTACTTCTACTTTTAAGAATCTAGCTCAAGGAAATTCATAATATGGAATCAGTAAGCACGAAGAGGTTCCTTATAGCATTATTTATAGTCAAAAAAAATGTAGAAAACCTTAAATGTCCAAAATAGGGGAAATATAATGTTAGTGGATTATTCACTCAGTATATTATGGAGCCAGAAATGATGATAGGAGGTAGAGCTATGTATTGATATGGAAAGATAACCAAGAGATACAAAAAAAAAAAAAAAAGGTAAAAAAGGTAAGGTGGAAAAGAAAGTACAACATAATGCCATCTGTGTGTTAGTTAAAAAATTAGAAATTGTTACTATGTATCCATAAAATGTTTGTGGAAAATATATGAGAGAAAATAGCATTAGGTGGAAGAAGGAGGCAAGAAACTTTAAAAAATATATTTATATCATCTATAGTTTTAACTATAGTTTTTTTTAACTGTGTGTGTTGTTATAATAAAATATATAATAAAAATTTAAAAGTCGTTATGAAGGCTATTGTAAGAGGTAAAAATATTTGTCAAGCAAAAAGAACAAGATGAAAAATTACACATGTAAAGTGCAGTTTTAACTACATGGCAAACATAAGAATAGAAGAAATGAAAAGAAAATAATAATTAGTTGTATTAAAGTGCTGGGATTATGTTTTGAATTTCTCTATTTTCCAATTTAAAAATTCCTTTATATCAATTATACGAAAATAATTTTTAACAAAATAGTTATGTGCTTAAAAATACATGAAAAAGAACTAATTCTTTGTTACAGATGGATTTGCTCTATTGGAAATCCCATGTCCTTATTTTGTTTCAGGCCCTGGGTGACCTGAGTGTGGAGTCCCTCTTTGTAAAGGTCTTTTCCTTCCTCCTGGCTGCCTCTTGACTCGCATTGGCGGCTCTCTCCTCCTCTCTGCAGAGCCCGCCTACCTTTGGGTTCCTGTTGGACATCGATGGAGTCTTGGTGCGTGGCCACAGAGTGATCCCTGCTGCTGTGGAGGCCTTTCGCAGGCTGGTGAATGCCCAGGGGCAGCTGCGGGTGCCTGTGGTCTTCGTCACAAATGCTGGTAACATCTTACAACATGGCAAAGCCCAGGAGTTGTCAGCTCTGCTGGGCTTCAAGGTGAGGAGATAGCCAGAGACACAGAAGCCTAAGGACCTAGTTTCCAGTGTAATCCCTACTCTAGCTCTAACTAAGCCTTCTTCCCTGGGCTGGTGTACAGTATTGATAAGTTGGGTCAGTACAAATCTTTATTTCCCTGCTGGAAATAAAACTTGAAGTTCAAGTCCAGCCTAGTGAGTAGAGCCTTATCAATAGGGTTATTTTTTATGTATACATACACATTGAGCACAAAAGTCCTGCCCATGGAGTTGGCAGTTTGAGCCTACTGTTTTTGTATCCATTTCTTTTCTTCTGGGCATCAGATCGTCTCTTTTGGATTGTCAGCCCCTGGAAAGCAAGGGTCGCATTTTTCTAAACCTCCATATACCAGATGGGACTCTGAAATAACAGCCCTTGTTTCTCATGAATAAGATGTAAACATTTGAATGAGTACTGTCCCCTAAAAGCAGTCCCTTTTCACCCACTTGCAACTCCACATGTATCCCAGCATTGATACATTCATTCTCTTTTTAAGGGTGGCTGTAGTTTTTGGAAAGAGTACTTTGGAACCAAGAGAGCAAATAAAGTGGCAGATTGAAGGGGTGACCCTGCTTGTTATGAATGCAGGGAGTAAAGGCATCCAATTGGTTCTCTTCTGTGGTTTCCAGAGAGGGTTTCAAAAACATTCTGAGAAAAGGCTGCATTGTCATAGTTAGTATAAATGTTAAAAAGCTAAGTCTTTTAAGTACAACTGAAAACAAAGTCAAAGTTAGAGACAGATTTCTATAACAGTGACAAAGAACATGCATACAGATCCTGTGCTTTCCAAAAGGGGAGTTGAGTAGGGCAGGATTGGTGCATGTCATGACCCCTAACTAATGGCATTTCCTGCTTGCTTCTTTTGTGTGGCAAGAGCCAAATTAGGCTGGTGGTTCCCACGCCTCTGTGGATACTTTCTAGAAGCTGGGCAAAGGGCTTTTTCCCCCCCTTCCTTTTCTGGGCATTTTATTTCTTCCTAGTTGATAGAAGCTGCCATCTATCTCCCATTATTCTCCTTCAACTACGTGTCTTTCTCTGCTCTCCTCTCTCTTGGCTGTCCCTGCAGGTGGAGCCAGACCAGGTTATTCTCTCTCACAGCCCCATGAAGCTCTTCTCACAGTACCACGGAAAGCGGATGCTAGTGTCTGGGCAGGGACCCCTGGTGGAAAACACCCGAGCGTATCCTTTTGGTGCTTCTCGCTCTGGCAGAAGAGGAAGGGGCACGACTGAGGCCTTTCCTTCCAAGGCTGAGGGGGACTGTCATGAGTCGTGCTGGACTCAGGGTGCCCGGGCTCATGGGGTGTGTGGTAGGCTCTTGAGGGAGGTAGAACAGCCCTCAGGTGTGGCTAGTCCTGGTGCCCGGTGGTTTCCAAAAGCCAGCCCACTTCATCAGAATCTTCTGGGGAGCTTTCCTGGAGAGTCTTGTCATTGGGTCTGAGATAAAAATCAGCAATCTATTTTAAAAAAGAAAACTAGATGATTCTCTAATTAGGTCTGGGAAGCACTGCTCTAGTACTGTTCCTTGCAGTGGTCAATCAACTTATCCGTCAGTGTTAATTAAGAACCTACAGTGAACTAATCCTTTGGGGTGTATGCACAGTCAAGAAGCAGAAGACTTGTCCCTGTTCTCAAGCAGCTTATTTATTTGCTCCTCCTCCAGAGTCCTGTCAAGCACTTCCTATGTGCCACCACTGTGCTGTGGGCTCCCAGGGGGCAGAAGCCAGGAGAAGCACAGTGAGAATATGATTTAATCAAGGGGTTTATACTTGAGGCAGGAATAACACACCCATATGCAATAAAGGAATATTTCAGATGACATGGAGTTGAAGACTTAATAGTATAGGTTCTGGTGTCACAAGTGTCAGGTAACATCCTTGGAATAGGAATTACTTGTGGCTTCATGGAGGGCATAGCTGTGCCACAGGATAGGGTTCAGGTTTTCTATGCAGGGCAGTAGTTCAGGAAGCTAGAAAGAGAAGGGATGGTGAAGCTCCTTGAAGCTGGAGATTGGAATGGGACAGGATAGGGAATAAGAGACCAGGAAGGGTGGTGCTGAGGGTAGGAAACTGGAAGTAAATGTAGGAAGCAAGTGAGCTTATTATGAGGACAATGGGGAGTCTACAAGTTGTTGTTAATGGGCTGATCTGATAGAAGCATCATTTTTGGGAAATTTATTTTGAGAGTAATCTGAAACCATGTCCAGTTAAGATTGCAAGTGGGAATTGACAGAAAAATGGAGGCCGGTCTTGAAGAGATAAGGCTGGAGGTGGCTTCCCTCTCCCCATGGCCTCCCTGATCCTGGCCAAATCCGATTCATCTTAATGCTTAATTCAGCTCAAGTCTTAACTTCTCTGGACCCTTTGCCCCGTTACCCAGGCCACCGAGCAGTCTCCTCTTCTGAGCTTCTCGACATACAATGGCAGCACTATTCACAAAGTGCTGGCTTTGATGGGCTTTGGGCTTGGGGTGAGCTCCTTGAGGGCAGAGGTTCTTGTATGCTGTGCACTGTGGTAGTGCCCTGTGTAGGACCTGGCACCTGGAGTGTGCTCACTGACGGCTGGTATATCACCGTGGAGCGGTGCAGCCCCGCTCTGCCTGTGCAGTCATGGCTGGCCTGCCAGCGCCTTTCCAGAATTGGTATTGGCCCTGCTGGGCTCTATCTGGGCTCATTGGTTCACTCTTACTTGGGGAATAGGTGGACTAGTTTGATTAGGACTCTGGGTTGGTTCCCATTACTTTAAAGATGTCTTCCCCCAGAACTGTCCAGCTTTGCTTCCCTGATCTTGCTCTAGACTGGGCTTCGAGAATGTGGTTACTGTGGACGAGCTGCGGATGGCCTTCCCTGTACTTGACATGGTGGATCTCCAGAGGCGGCCAAAGACCACGGTAATGAGGAGCGCACGCCTGGGATCTCATGTTCAGTTATGTCCTCTTGTTCCTTCATGGGCTCCTCTCACTGGCCTTGCAGTCCCTCCTTCTTAGAGCCGTATCTTGTCCATGTTTCGCAGAGCTGCCTCCTTGGAGAGGCACATCTGGCCAAGGATTTTTTCTCCACATACACAGAATGCCTGGAAGAGGATGTGCTCCTAAGGGCTTTCCTTTCTGCATTGTTTGTGTTTAGCTGAGAACTCTTTCAGAGCCCTAGCATCTCCTCGGTTCGTAGCTTTACATCTTACCAGTTGGTGTTCCCATTGTTGCTTGGGAGAATCATTCACCTTCGTTAAATTTATCACTGCTCTACTTTATCCTGAACCGTGCTAACAAAGAGTTGTCCTTGAGAGAAGCAGCTTTCTTGTAAAAGTAACTGGCAATTCTGAGTGTCTGCTGTGTTTGTTTTGGGTTCAGCTCATATTCAAATTACTGGTTTGATTCTTTATTTTCTCTGCTGAGTAGTCACAGGGCCTCTTATTGATACTCTAGAGCAGGAGTCCCCAAACCTTGGTCTGCAGACCAGTACTGGTTCAGGGCCTGTTAGGAACTAGGCCACACGGCAGGAGGTGAGTGGTGGGCAAGCCAGCGAAGCTTCATCTGGATTTGTAGCCGCTCCCCAGCGCCAGCATCACCACCTCAGCTCCACCTCAGATCATCAGGCATTAGATTCTCATAGGAGCACTGGTCCTTGGTGCCAAAAAGGTTGGGGACTGCTGCTCTAGAGTGTGACTGTCCATCTTTTGATAGCTCCTGGCTCTCTTCTTCCTCGTGTGAATTCTTTATGTATCACATAGCCTATATTTTAAGTCAGGCCACTGTCAAAATGTGATAAAATGTGTTATAAGCAGACAAGCTTACTTGTATCGTATACAACTTTAGTCCTTCCTCCAAAGCTTTCCAATTGAATAGAGCGCTTTATCGCCTTTGAGGGCTTTCTCATAGAACCTTGAAAGTTAGGTAGAGAACCAGATTGTTGGAGTTGGAATAGATCTCAGAACAGCTCAGAGACAGCCCCACACAGGGGAAGTGATTCACCCCAGGTTAGTGGCAGAGGCAGGACTATAATTGTCTGAGGAAGGAGTGGAAGAGGTTAGTAAAGTGAAGGCTCCTGCCTCCTAATCTGACACCAAGAGAAATAGTCCATCATGCCCTGATGGCCTCCTTTTTCTCCATGGGCTCACCTTCATCTTAGCTACCTAAGGCTAGACTCTTGCTTGGCCCATATCTTACCTTGGCCTTGTTAGAGAAAGACAGCTGATCGGCTCCTCCTCCTGGCTGAACTTCATATGTGGCATTCCTCAGTCCTTTCTGTTCTCTCTTCACCTTTCTTCATGAATGTTCTTCCTCAGTTCTTTCTGGCCTCTCCTCAGCTTGGGCTAGACTGTGGGGGTGGTCTTCGATTCTGTCTGAAATTCATCTTTTCTCCCTCCCACCCTTGGAAACCAGCGTGTGATTGTCTGTTAGTGGAAAGCAGCTGTTGCATTGATGGGCCTGTTCTTTGTCTCTTGGCAGCCCCTTCCAAGGAGCGACTTCCCTGCCATTGAAGGTAATGAGGTCCTCTCCTTGTGTGGGCATGGGGCTGGGTGGTTCTCTCTCCTTTCAGGCCCTCCAGGCTGTTATAGCGTGATTGTTTGCCAGCAAATTGGTAGGCTAGCCAGCTGGCACTAGACATCAGGTCACCTGGGTTCTGGTCTTGGATCTGCCACTCACTACTTCTGAGATATTTGTTGTTTATCTTTCCTTCACCATACCACTCGCCCTATTCCAGAAAAATCGCAAGCTTAGAATATGTGTGAGTAGAAAGGTACCTAGAGGCAATCTAGTTCAGTGTTCCTTAGCTCCATTAAAATTGGTTCTCTCCTTGTATTACAAAAATATTGTTATATCCCCTTTATTAGCCTGAGAATGAAATTCTGTCTTTCCATACACATACGTTAAAAATTAATTAGTTCACTACAAAGCCCTAATTGTAATAGAAACAAAAGAAAAAAATTTTAGTAAGCTAATATATATTTCAGTATGTAATAATTATTCAAAAAGACAAACTGAAGTAGTAAAATGATTATACCAAACATAGAATCACCATGAATGTTGCAGCTATAAATGCAAACAGATGGATGTTTATAGGTGTGATAGAGCTGTGTTTTATTGGTTATTCAGAAATCAAGGGCAGCATTGTCATTGGAGAAGTGATTTTGCAAAATAGGGAATAACTCTTGGTAAAATTTTGAAAAATAAAGTACAGTGTTCTCTTGACTTAAATGATAGTCCTGGAGCCCTGGGGGGAAGAATCAGCGTTTATTAAAACTACCAAAAAAATTCTTTGTGTTTGTTTACATGTAAAATGGGATTAGGGTTTAGGCTCAATTAATTACAAACAGGTTGTTCACCTATATGAATGCCAGATGGGACACTCAAATGTTAATAGACATGGGGCAGTTTTTGATTGTGCAGGACTGTCCTGAGTATCTAGCATTGCTGGTCCTCTCCTACAGTCCTCATCATTAAGTGTCAGTCATGAAGATTAAAATATATCCTCCAGTTTCTAGAATACCTCCTTAGAGGGCAGTGGTCAATTCACTGGTCTCATAGCTGATATCTTAGCTTCTATTTGTTGAGTGCTATGTGTCCAGCACAGGTTAAGTGCTGTATTTATTATATCTCATTTTTAGCCTCATAACAATAGTATGTGTTGTTATCATTTTGAGGAAACTGAGGCTTAGAGAAGGTAAATAACTTGCCCACAAGCATAAAAGATAATTGATAGAGTCAGCCTTGGAATTCAGATCTCTATCACTCCAAATTCCCCTCTCCTAGCCATTAGGTTTATTGGCCCTTGGGACTTGGAGAAGTGGCCAAGGAGGATGAGCACTTTGCCATGTACCTGTGGGTGAAGCAGTGGGGAGAACATCAGTCATCAGGAGGAAATGGGCCTGAGACTTGCTGTTGCTTGTCTTGTTTTTAACTTCTTTTGTGAAGTACAGTGGACACAGTGACAATGGGAACCTTTAGGAGGTGCCTTCCTAGGCCCTGGGCTTTATTCACCTTGGGTGGATAGGTGAGTGGTTCTTTCAAGACTGGTTCAGGGAACTGTGCCCTTGCCAGAATGAGTGTACTGTGGAGGAAGAGCTTGTGGTTGGGCGGCACCAGCTGGCTTCAGTTGGTCTCCTGAGGGCTTTCTTCCCACCTACCACAGAGGGCAGGCCAAGTTCCCTGTACCCTCATCCCTATACCTTTGCTCTTTAAAGGGGTGCTCCTCCTTGGGGAGCCAGTTCGCTGGGAGACAAGCCTGCAGCTGATCATGGATGTCCTTCTCAGCAATGGGAATCCTGGGACTGGTCTGGCGACGGCTCCCTATCCCCATCTCCCTGTTCTGGCCAGTAACATGGATCTTCTTTGGATGGCTGAAGCCAGGATGCCCAGGTGAGGACACAGTCCCCGGCCTTGACCATGGTGGCCCATTTCCAGCTGCTGCCTGAGCAGTTCTTCTAACAGTTTCCCACCATCATTCTATATTTCGGGCCTTCAGACCCATACCTGGGTAGGCCCTTTAGTTGGACATAATAACTTGGCCTTCTGGGAGGGATTTCAAGGATCACTTCATATACTAATTATTAAATAAAAACTACAAATTACTGAGCACTGGAGAGATATATTGAGACGATCTTTAACAGATGATCCTTGCCCTCCAGAATCTTAACAGTACACATTCTTTTTGACTAGAGGAACCCAAACAATGATCAGCTTTTGAGGTATATAGATGCAAATTATTCAACTGCTCTCCCTTCTTTGCCTTCACCTTGTAGTATTAATTCTTTCACTTCTTTATTTCCTTTTGCTCTTAAGAGGTAGGGGCAGGGGAAAGCAAGAATTATTCTGATGTTTGTATAGACCAGAGAACTGAGACTTGGTCATAGGTGACTTTCTCAGAGGCATACGGGTACTGAGCAGGCACATATTTCCTGCTCAGTTGTGTAGATTTTACCTGTCCTGTCTTTTTCTGAAGTTGAGCACAGTATAAGCGGCCCTTTTTCTGGCCCTGGAAGTGCCTTCTCGTAGTCTGACAGCTGCTGTGTACTGTTCTGCAGCTCTTACCTGCAAGGCTAAAGTCTAGAGTTCTCCCATGCCACTAACTCCCAGTGAACTGGGTGAGTGATCCATCAGTAGATTAGTGGGGCCCAACACTGCCTCAAGTCACGTGACTCAGCCCATAAGAAATGGGGATTACAGTGTTCTCTCTTGTTACTTTCAAAGTATATTTCTGTAGCTGAGATTAGGTATTTTTTCTGAAGTATTCTTCCTAGAGTTAGGGTATACTGACACTAGATAAAAGGGGTTTGATTATATAGGCTATGAACTGAATAGTAAAGGGCAAATTTCAATTTATAAACCAGATTCGAGGTTAACCTTTCATTTGATAATTTAAACATTAAAAATAGAATTTATTATATAACTAAGTGACACAAATATGACTTCAGTGTATTGTGCATTATCAGTTCAGATTTGGTTTAGCAGCAAGGGATGAAAACCCAAAACAAGAATATCTTAAACAAGATAGAAGTTTATTTCTTCCTCATATAAAAGAAGTCTGGGGTAGGCAATCCTAGGCTTGTATGGAAGCTTCACCTGTCAGAGACACAGGCACCTCTGTTTTCCTGCTGTGCAATCCTTAGCCCTACATAATCCAAAATGGCTGCCTGAACTCCAGCCATCATATCAGCATTCCAGGCAGCAAGAAGGAATAGGGGAAGGTAGAGAAGAGCATCTCCCCCCAATTTTATGGATACTTCCTAGAAGTTAAGCCCAGTATTTCTGATTTCATCGACTCCTTGGCCGTACTGTTGTCACATGGCCACACACCTGACTACTGTGGAAGCAAGGGAATGTAGTTTTTTACACCTGGTAGCAATATGCTCAGCTGAAAATTGACACCAAGAAAGAAGAGGAGTTGGAAACATCTGCCACAAATCTAAAGCAGAATTTAAAGTTAGGTTTCTTGAGTCCAAATGCCTGCAGTGTAATCCTAGCACTGCCACCTTGGGCAAGTTACTTAATCTCTTTATGCCTCAGTTTCCTTACTTGTAAAATGAGAATAATGATCTCAGGGTTTTTCTGTGACTTCAGTGTGATATGACATCTTCAGTGCTAGAACAGTGCTCAGTAAATGTTATTAGATAATAGCAGGTCATAAATGTAGGTAATGAATGTAGTTCTTACTAGAAGTAATTTCGTTTTGACCTATCACCACTGGGGCCCTGGAGCGAAAGGTTGGTGTTCAGGGTCCTGCTTACACAATGACAGGTGGCCTGCAAGAACCCAGGGAGTGAAGACTGAGCTGCTGAATTGTCTTTTCTGGCAGGTTTGGCCACGGCACCTTTCTGTTGTGCCTGGAAACCATTTACCGCAAAGTGACAGGCAATGAGTTACGGTACGAGGGCCTGATGGGCAAACCCAGCATCCTCACTTACCAATATGCGGAGGACCTGATCAGGCAGCAGGCGGAGAGGCGGGGCTGGGCAGCCCCCATCCAGAAGCTCTATGCTGTAGGGTAAGTTCTGTTCATTTCCTCAACCCTTTTTTGACTTACTCTTTCCTTTCTCCCTACCCCTCTCACCTGCCTTGTTTCCCTGTATCTAATGCACACCACTTGCCCTATAATTGTCCTTTGCTCTCTGTGCCTTACAACACTGAACTTGGATTTTCTCTTCTTTTCTTTTCCGGTATGGCTGCCCCTGCCAGTGATAACCCTATGTCTGATGTCTATGGTGCCAACCTGTTCCACCAGTACCTGCAGATGGTGAAGCATGATGGGGCAGAGGAGCTGGGGGCTGATGGCCTGTGGAAGCAGCGGCCCTCAGCAACCCAGAGCTGTTCCTCTATCTTGGTGTGCACTGGCGTGTACAGTCCCAAGACCCCAGGGTCCACAGAGCCTGCCCAGGGAGAAGAGCCTCCCTTCCACGGGCACCGGGACTTCAGCTTCAGTCCAAAGCTTATGGAGGCATCTCACATCGTGAATGATGTGGACGAGGCTGTGCAGCTGGTTTTCCACAAGGAGGGTTGGGCTTTGTAGTGAGGACTATGCATTGGAGGCAGGGGGAGGGAACGTGCCAGAGCTGTAGGTGACTTTCATTTGCTGGCTTCTGGCCTGGATCACTAGGGGTCACATCAGGGCCTGCTCCCATAGACACTCTTCCTGCTGCCCTACAGGTGTGCCCTACTGGTCACTTGGAAGAAGAAACTGGCTTTTTCTCCTGCTGGGCAGTAGCCACAGAATATACCCAGGGTAACATTTGAGTAGAACTATCAGGATTTTCTGGGTCCAATTCCTGTCTGCCTCTCCTGGCAGTCTGACCTCAGCCTAGGCCTTTTACCTCTGTGCCTCAGTTTCCTCCTCAATTCAGTAGGGACTTCTGGAAAAAAGGAAGGTGATATGGAATAATGTGGAAATTTCTGCAGGACTTTTATCTACATCGAGGGAACCACTGCATGCCAGCCAGGTGTGTAACACTCAGATGCTACATTTTTTATTTCATCTTATTGCCCAGAGACTTTTGGGCTTATTTTTTTTAAATTAAAATAATCCTAATAAATATTAATTATGCCATCTCTTGTGAAGCTCTATCTGGAATGTACTAAAAAGTCCCATGGGGGAAAGATAGTGGGTGAGTGGTGTGGGTGACCTTGAGGCAAAGAGATTGGTGGCATTTCACTCCCATAATGTGCTGACGTCTCCTTTCCCACCTCTGTGTTCCTCCCACCCCCATCTGGGCTGTGAAGCAAGTCTGTCTAGGAAAGTCGTGCCCAGGCTTTGGCATATACATAGCAACTTCCCTGATATGGAAAAGAAAAAAGGATCTCACTTATGGTTTATTCTAAAGGAACTTTTCCTACAGTGGTTCTAGAAAATGTGTTTCCGTTATTCCCACTAGGAGTAATCCAATTTCATTTTTCCATGGTCTGTCACCCATGACCTTCCATTTGTCAAATCCTCATGTCAGTTCTTGCCTTCATCTTTCTCTAGCAGTTGTTTGCTGTCACACAAGCTGATTACTTCCTCCCCTTTTCTTAAAACACATTACTTGGCTGTATCTGACTGACTTTTGGATGCCACTGTTTGGATACCTGATATTCATTTAGAGGGGAGGGAGCCAACGAGGTGGAGAGAATGGCCAGTGAAATAGGAAGGGCCTTGAGATCTGGTGCCAGGAGGCTGAATGAAGAATATATTTCATAAAGGAGGTAGTGAAGACCTGTGCTAACTCTGTACCTATCATAGGTTAACCCTGTCCAAAACCAAACACAGCCCGATTCTACTCCAGCACCCCAATAATCTGGGTTGTGCTGCAGTCTTTCCCACTTCAGACAACAGCAGCTTCTTTCTTCTCATTTAGGCTGAAGGCTTGGACTCATCATCTCTCTCATTTCCCATGTCCAGTCCATCAGCAAATCCTGTCAGCTTTGCCTTCGGAATGGATCCGGAGTGTGAGCACTTTCTAGCCTTCAACACCACCCTGGTCCAGGCTGCTGGCTTCTCTCACCTGGCTTGTTGCAGCAGCCTCATATTTGGTCTCCCTGTCTCATCCTTTCCCTTCCTCCCTGCTATTTTCCACTCATTGGCCCAGAAATCACAAGTTTGATCTGTGCTCTGATCAGAACCATCCTATGACTTCTGGTCTCATTAAAAGTAAAAGCCCAAATTCCTTACCGCAGCACAAATCCTGTTCCCCTTAATCATTTCATACCAGCCACACTTGACTCCTTCCGTTTCAACATATATACTCCTGCCTCAGGATCTCTCTGCATTTGCCATCCCTCTCCCTCATTTCCAGTATTGACAAGGCTTGCTCCATTCTTTTTTCCCCCCTCATTACTTCTTAAAGATGGGAAAAAAGAATCGTGACTATGTCGCTTCACAGAGACTCCCTCAACTTCCGATTTAAAAAAAACCCTCTTATCTTTAATTTTTATCCTAGGCCTCATCACCCATGACCCATATTTACTCTTTATGTCTTCTAAAATATTAAGTTCCATGGACTTTGTCCATGTTGACTCACTCTTGTACCCCTACACAACATGTCTGGCACTTGATAGGGTTGCAGACCTTGTAAGTCCTTAGAGACAAACATGGCTTTCTTTTCCCTTGGGGAATATGGCAAAAGTGAAAGACTACAGGTCTTGAAGTCAGATAGGCCTGGAGTCAATCCCAGATCTGTCACTCACTAGCTAGATAGCCTTGGGCAGTTTCAGTTTTCCAAGCTTCCGATTTCTCATCTGTAAAATTGGTGTTGGCAATGTATATTTTATAAATGAGCTATTTTAAGTACAGTACTGTGTTACTTAGGGTTTTTTGTTCAGCTGTTTGTTACAGAAATCTGACTATAGTGGCTTGAACAAATAGGCGGTTATTTTTCTAAACAACAGGAAGTTCAGAGATAGGCATTTCAGACTAGAGAAGCAGCTTAGGGATTTTGTCAAGGACTCAAGTACTTGCCCACCATCCTTAGTGTGTGTGTTTGTCCAGTCGCAAGATGGTACCAGTATACTTTCAGGTCTCTCATCCACATTCCAAGGAGGAACATTCCCAGAAGTTCCCACTTTCGGATTTGCAGCTCTTTCTGGTCACATGGGCACCAGTAGCTGGAAGGAGGTAGGGTTGGGGCACATTACTGCTTAAACAAAATCAGGGTCTGTTAGGAAATCTAGTGAAATGGATGTTGGGTAGGCAACTAGCAGTACAGCTCCAGCACCTGTGACCCAGAAGGCATTTAACTGTGATTATTTCTTCCAGGGCTCTGGGGAAATGGATGAAGCCCTGGCCTCTGAAGCACCTTGTCTAATAGTTATCTGAGCTGCTGGGTTGGGTATCAGTCTTGCCAGCTTACATTTGTTAGCCTTTGAAGACGGGCATTTGTCTATATTTTGTTAGAGCCTCAAAAAGCCCCTAATGGAGAGAGACAATCCTTATCTATCCATTTTTATAAACGAGGGCATTAAGGCAGAGATAATTTATTCTTTCAATATGAAACGTTTGTTGAAGATCTACTATACCAAGCACCATTCTAGGTGCCATAGCAGTGACCAGTCATTGGTAACAATGCCTGCTCTTGTTGAGTTCACATTTTAGTGATGATATGTCCAAAGTCAGTAAATGAAGTGCCTGGGACTAAAGTTGGGTGTCCTAACTCTTACCCTAGTGTTTTCCCTGAGATATGCACCAAAGACCCTCCCCACCCTGAGCCCTTCCCCCAAGCATCGTTTTATGTTCTGGAGCAGCTGCAGTTGTGGATGGAGCCCAAGTGAGCTATCCTTGGGTCAAATAGGTTGAGCTTACCAAATGGAATGACAGGTGAGTACAGAAATGAGGTGGAAAGCAAAGCCAAGTATGGCTACATGGGGAGGAATCTTACCAGAGTTGAGAATCCTTAGCTCCAGATTGAAGTGACAGAATGACAGCATCTCTTTGTGTCTGTCTGCCTCTGGCTCTATTCCTTTGGCTGGCACTTGTTCTGGCTCTGTAGCCCACTCCCTTTCTTGTTTGGGTTTCCTAAAGGTGTTGCAAGCTCTTCCAAATCCATGTCAGAGGGCAGGGCCAGCCACTCGGCTGCAATGCCAATCTTGTCTCTTAGGGGCTTTGAACTGCGGAACTAAGACACAACCGTTTCATTTGCTTAGCCCCAAACTGATGAAAATATTACCTTTCTGTGTTTTGATGGAACTAAATGAGTACAAAACAAAAAAGACTTTGTAAGTCAATTTGAACAGGAAGTAAGTCCATACTTATATATAATATTATTAACCTGGAATGAAACTATACCATTAGGCACTCACAGTGAATAGAGAATCACCTTGGGTCTCTCTAGCCTTGGTGTCAGAATATAGGGGCACTTCCTCAGTGCTCCCCTTGGTGGCAGCAGTTTCTGGCCTCCTAAGGACACCTCTAGGCTGCCCAAGGCAGGTACAGTGAGCAAGCTGGTAATCCGGACTTGCAGCAGAGCTAGAGTTGCTGTAGCAACCAGATGCTGCCTTGAGGGTGGAATTTTAAAATATCTCAGCTATAATAGTTATTTTTTTCCCCAGTCAGTCTGTTACTTCCCCAGTGCTGCGTGGTGCTGCCGAGGCTGGGCCATGCTGGGACACCAGTTTGTCTGCCTGTGGCTCTTGGCAGCTTCTTCAAGGGTTGGAGGTGGAGGATTATCTCAGGGTGTGAACTGCTGGGGAGATGACAGAGCTTCAGCTTTTGCTTCCAGGCTCCTTCGGATCTTGGTTCCAAAAGCCTTATGTCATTTTTCTTTTTTGGGAGGCAGAGGAGGAGAGGGGTCTAGCTTGAAACTCCCTCCCTCCTCCCACTCTGACTTGAGCCTTCTGGCTTATACCCTACCAAAGCAGCCTTAGCATTCATGGGACCTCTTTTTGGGGAGGAGAGGGACAGGTTCCTTCTTGTCTGCTTTTCCCTTTGGTCTTTCTAACTCCTTTTGGCTTCATTGATTCACTCAACAAACAACTGCTAAGAACCTACTAAGCACTGGGTTAAGAAATGAGAAACTGCCCTTCTTTTGGAGGAATTTATCAGTCTCTTGACACTGGACTTGGCCCTATCAGATTTCAAACATTTTTATAAAGTTATAGTAATTTAGTGTTCTACTTGGCAGAGGAAGGGATACAAACCATGGAACAAAACAGCACTTAGAAACACTTACATGAAATAGATGAAAATATATGAAAATGTGGCTTATTTAGATGTTTATTTCTTGCTCATTTCATAGTCTGATGTGGGGTAGGTGGCTAGTCTTGGCCTTTCTCTTCCAGGTGGTGACTCAGGAATCTAGGCACCTTCCATTTTGTGGTGCTGTCATCTTCAGCACATGGTCTCCAAGGTCTCTGGGGAATAGGGAGAGAGGATGGATGACTGAAAAGGAATTCATAATAGTGTTGTACTTCAATTCTGTCCATATCTATTGGCCAGACACATGGTTCCATTGCAACTCCAGAGAGAATGGGAAATGTGGTCTTCCTTTATGCCTAAGAAAAGGAAATGAGATTGGTCAACATCTAGCTTGTTTCTCTTCCCATATTACAATTAGGATAAAGAAATTCTGTTTTGCTTAGTTTTTGTTATTTAATTTTAAGTGAAGAGATCAAGCAATATGAAGAATAAAAAAAAGTATATTAGAACTTTTTTGTACAATTCTCTTTATAATTTTATTTTTTATTTTTTTCTTTTATTTCCATCCCCCCACCTCATTCCCCTTTAGCAAACATCAGTTTGTTCTCTATATCTATGGGTCTGTTTCATTTTGTTTATTCATTTCTTCTTTTTTTAGATTTCATATATATGTGAAATCATACAGTATTTGTCTTTGTCTGACTTATTTCACTTAGCATAATGCCCTCTAGGTCCATCCATGTTGTTGCAAATGGCAAGATTTCACTCATTTTTATTGCTGATTAGTATTCCATTGTGTGTGTGTGTGTGTGTATCACCACATCTTTATCCATT